TAGTAACATTTGTTTCAATCTTCTTATTCGTAAAGGCATTTCCCCCATTTCAACTTGTAGAGCTGAAACTGGTGATGTTCTAAATGCTCCACTGCATATTCTGAGTACTTTTGATTGTTCTATATCCAGAAGTTTTAAATGAGTTTCTGCTGCTGCCATATAGCTAATGCTGCCATAGTCCATTGTTGATCTCATAAGTGATTGATATATATTTACTAATGCTTCCCTACTTGCTCCCCATTCCCTTCCTGTTAAACAACGCAATAAATTATTAACATTTTTACATTTTATTTTTATTTTTTCTATGCTTCCATGTAAGTTTTTCATCAAAAATCATGCCTAAAAATCTTATATCCTTAACCTGTTCAAGGTTTTGACCATATAACTTTAAGGAGATAGACTTATGTTTTCTAGAGAAGCAGATAACTTGAGATTTTGTTGTTGAAAGTTTAAAACCCCAGTTATTGGACCATATTTCAACTTCATTGATTGCCTTTTGCATTTTATTTCTGAGATATTCTACATTACGACCACGAATCCATAAAGCTCCATCGTCCGCATATAAAGATTTACTGATTCCATGATCTATTTTATCAAATATGTCATTGATCATTATCAAGAATAATACTGGGCTACAAACACTACCTTGAGGAGTACCATTCTCCACAATATATTTACTTGAAAATTCCTTTCCCACTCGCACTTCTATTGTTCTTTCAAACAAAAAATTACTTATCCAATTAAATAGTTTTCCTTTTACCCCAAGTTTTTCCAGTTTTACTAATAAACCTTCTTTCCAAAGTGTATCATAAGCTTTTTCTATATCGAAAAAGACTGCAATAACTGATTCTTTGTTAGCTTGTGCTTTCCTTATCTCTGACTCGAGGCATAAAATAGAGTCCATTGCGTTTCTCCCTTTCCTGAATCCACTTTGATTTGGTGATAACAGATTATTAAATTCTAAATAACTATATAGCCTTTTAGTTATTATTTTTTCCATTGTTTTCCCCAATTGTGAATTCAAAGCAATGGGTCTATAGTTGGAAGGATTTGAAGGATCTTTACCTGGTTTTAATATTGGTATTATTATTGAATTTTTCCATGAAGTTGGTATTTTACCACTATCCCAAATTAAATTAAACAAAATTAATATTGCTTTAATAGAATTTTCACCCATATGTTTTAACATATCGTAACAAATATTGTCTTTTCCAGGAGATGATTGATTAGTATTACTAAGCGCTCTTTTAAATTCAAATAAAGTAATAGGTAGATCCATCGTCCCTCCATTGACAGTTTTTTTGTTATCTATATTTGGATGGTTTTTTAATATATTGCTCCTCAACTCCCTAACATTTGCTGAAATATTGTCAGAACTATGTATTTTAACCAGTGTTTTAACTAATAATTCTGCTTTATCTAGATCAGTTATTGCAACAGTGTTTTCATTTTTAATTATTGGGATTTCATATTTCCTAGTTATTCCATTCATCTTCTTTATCATCCCCCACACATCTGATAATTTAGTTTCTCTCCCTATGGTAGAGCAATATTTTTGCCAGTATTCTCTTTTTGCTTTTCTTATTGTTCTCCTAACAATTGCTTGTTTCCTTTTATAAAATATTAACTTTTCAATTGTATGCTGAACTTTTAGTTGTTTAAATGCTTTATTCCTTTCTTTAATAGCTTTTTTACAGTCCTCATCCCACCATGGAACATTCTTTTTAATTCTACTTCCTGTACTTTTAGGTATTGCTTTATTTGCATTCTGTATAAGTATTGTTGTTAATTTTTCATTAAATTCTTCAATATCTTTAATATCTTCTCTAATAATTTCTCCACATTTAATTTCAGTCAGATTTTGAAACTTGATCCAGTTTGCTTTATTAAATTGCCACCTAGGTACTCGAAATGTTTTTCCTTTAAGAACATCCAGTCCTATTTTAATGGTTATTGGATAATGATCACTACCAAGTGATGTTTTATTTATTACTTCCCACTGCGTAATTCCTGCAATGTTATTTGAGGTGACTGTTAAATCTATTGCTGTTTCTGTGTTCTTTGTAATATTATATCTGGTCCCTGTTCCATTATTTATGCACACCAGTCTGTTATCATCAATGAATTCCTCTACGTTTCTGCCATTTATGTCTGTGTGATCACTTCCCCAAAGATTATTGTGAGCATTAAAATCTCCACACCAAACAATTTTCCCCTGTTCCTGTCCTCTAACTATATTCAGTGTTTCAATAGTTAATTCTTTACATGGATTATAATAATTAATAATGATCATTTCATCCCTACCTGTCCATATTTTAATAGTAATGTATTCATGCTCTTTTCCTATATGGATTATACTGTAACCTATATTATTTTGTACAAGGATCATTATTCCTCCACCCCTTCCATTACCTCTATCTCTTCTGATGGCAGTGTACCCATGTAAAACAAAATCTAATTCTGGTTTTAACCAGGTTTCCTGAATACAGATGATATGTGGTTTTTCTTGTAGTTGTGATATGTAATGTTTAAAATCTTGACCATTTGAGATGAGACTTCTAGCGTTCCATTGAAATATGTTTATGACCATGTGGAAGTAGCACCTTCTGACTGAGTTGGTGTTACTCCTTTACCTATCATATTTTCTACAGCTTCCCAACCAAGGTCTTTAACATCTAGATATTTTTCTGCAGCCCTCACTATGATTTTAATCTTTTCAGTTTTCTTTACTGTCTGAGCTGAACAATTAATCACTTCCACCATAAACAGCACAAAATCCTTTTTGTTCACTATCATTGAATCATTAGGTATTTTAGAGCATCCATCACAAGTTTTTGGTTTTATATTTGGTGTCACTGTTGGTTTTGGCTTCTCTGGTTGATTTGGGATTCTTTTCACAGCTTCAGCATAAGTTATCCCTTGAGCTAGTTTCACTTTTTGGATTTCCTCTGCTCTTTTACTGTATTGACATCCACGGTAAGCAGAAGTGTGTTCTTCTCCACAGTTACAACATTTAATTTTTGCCTCTTTTTCACATTTCCCATATTCATGTTCACCTGCACATCTTCCACATCGTTGTTTTCCTTTACAGATTGCTGCTACATGTCCAAATTTCTGGCATTTAAAACACCTTAACGGAGGAGGAATGTATTGTTTCACATCATAGCTCATATAGCCTATGTAGACTTTACTTGGTAAACATTCACCTTCAAATTTAATCAAGACTGACAAGCTGTTACATCGTTCTCCATTTCTTGTTGTTTGCAGACGTTTAATTTCTTTCACTTTTGCTCCACGTATGTTTGCTTGAATTTCTTCATTTGAGATTTTTAAAGGGACTCCACTAATGACTCCTCTACCCATTTTTTTGTTTTCAACCAGACTGCTCTGAACTTTCTTTCCTTCCATTTTGTGAATCTTAATTGCCTTTCCTTGTTGAATGCTGTCTCTGCAATGAACAAAAAGTGCTCCGCTTCGTAAAACCTTAGCGCTAAGGACTTCACCTATTAGTTTATTTATTGTTTTGGTTAATTGTATTGGGTTCCATTCACCAAAAGATTCTCCCTCTTGATTTAATTTAATAATAACTTTATACTCATCTTTTGGTTTCTTAGTTACTAGTTCATTTTCCTCATCATTTTCTGGGTTAGAAATATCTTCAGCTGATGTCTGCTTTTTACGCTTTTTTCTGCTTTTTGAAGCAGCTAACTTACTCCAATCTTCTTCATTTCCGCCACTATTTTCTTCCATTTCATCAAACTCACTTCCTGATCCAGAACTTCCCTCTGCAACCTCCTGCCCATTCACAGCCCAGCCGCTGCCAACCGCCTTACCAAATTGCTGACTCATCTTTTCTCTCTCCGTCATCCATCCGCTCGAAAACGCCTCCAGACGAAGCTTCTCCATCTCACTAAGACTCTAGTTCCAAGAAGTGTTGCCTTTTAAAGGGTATCCACTTCCTGTTATGTGGTACTTCCTGATTGGTTGAAACAACCAGCAGGGGTGTAGTTTTAGTGATGTCAGAGGGTCACTAGGAGTCAGGAGAGAGCAGGAATGTTTTAAGAACGGTTATAGTACAGACAGAGAAATATTATGAAGAAGTGAGACAAAGCAGGTGCCAGCTAGTTCTTATTTACTGTCTGAGAGTTTTAAAAACAAGGCACTTCGTTCTCATAACTTGTCTCTGACTTTCGACCGACATCCACTACTCCTCATTCAGACAGAAGACTAAATGCACACTTACTTCGTAAATAGACATTTAACTGTATGATCAAAGTCTAATGAGGTTTAAAAATCATTAATACTGTTTCAAGTTGATTTAAATGAGTGGTTCACTTCAACATTTAGAAATGGTATGAACTAAACACACTTTTGATTATCAAGATATTGTAAAATAGTAATGATAATGTAAAAAGAAGAGTGTTCTTTCAATTTATTAATTCAGGATACAATTAAATAGTCTCTTGATGAGATAATTTGTATTTCTGGATTCAAATCAATGAAATAACAGTTCCTGTCCCCTGAAGGTCTTCAGAGACAGATTGATGTCAGAGGTCTAGTTCACTACAGGATATAGTCTACTTCCTCATATACATGTTCCAAATATTCAATTCCTTTACACCTCCAACCTGGGAAATAAATAAAGGTTAATTAATAACTCAGTTTCAGCATTTCCTGTAACAGGTAAGATATCAGTTGTCCATAACATTTCCACAGAATCCCAATTCAAAATGACCAGAATTGGTCCTTTTTAGAAAAACACACAGAGTTGACTTGTTCTGCTCATCAGGCCTGTAGGTGGTGCTGTGGGACGTGTGGTTCAATGGAAAACTTGACTCCGGTGTGATTCAACCACCGCTGCCTCTTTAAAGCTTGTGATGCATCTGTGACTTTGTGTTTGGCTGATTGATTGTCCTCCGCCCCCTGAATGCATCACGGGGAGGGGTAAGCTGAGAGTGGAGTGACCACACAGATCCCCCCCCCCCTCTCTCTCTCACACAGAACATGTCTCTGGCTCTGGGAGCATCTGCCAGCCTGCAGTCCACAAAAATGAAAAAAGACGAATCCTTCCTGGGGAAGTTAGGAGGAACCCTGGCCAGGAAGAAGAAATCCAAAGAAGGTGAGGACTTCCTTACTGTCCATGGTGCTGCACATGCTCTGAATGAAAAGGATCTCATCACTAAATGATCACATTAGTTGACTTGGTTTCTAAGGTATAAGATGTGTTACAAATGGCTGTTACTATTATTTTGAGGTCAGTCAGTGTAGAACATTGGTATGAAGCCGTTGTCCTTAAAATAGAAAGAAATGTGTCAAATTAAAATAAACAATGACTTCATAGCAGCTCCCTCTGGCATGCAGCATGAGGGAAAGGACATAACATATGTCCCACATGGGGCAACTTTGTAAAAAGAACGTGAGATTTGTTTACACCTTCAAACTACTTTTCTAGAAGTATTCTCTGCTCTTCCACTGTCCCCAAAGCTGGTCTGGTTCAGAGGGACAGCTGCAAGGGTTAATGCCACACAAATATTTGTGTGTGTTTTCTCTCAGCCATGTGTTTGTGATTTCCACCTCCAGTGGGAGGTCAGAGAAATGTTAATTGTTCAGGAGCCTCCTTGAATGCCAACCACATTTTGCCACCATTAGTTATTATGTTGATGGTTTCAGCTCACTTTAAGAGCTTTAGACAGGAAACGCAGTCAAACTTTTGAAGTCAATTTTTATTCAGAGATGGTCAGACACAATAGTCTACAAGAGGATATGCTGTTGTAGTTCCTCAGTCATTCAGGACGGGACATGCATATATTCAAGGATTCAAGGTTTCAAGGATTCAAGGTTCTTTATTTCGCACCCCATGTGGTACATGTGGTGGAACAGAATTATGTACACAGGGTCCCAGTTACAGCCAACAATAAATTGTAAAAGCAAAACAGTATACATATACCCCAATCCAGATCTGGGGTGGCTGTGGCTGAGTGGTTAGAGCAGTCGTCCTCCAATGCGAGAGTTGGGGGTTCGAATCCACCAGCAGGCACATGAAGAAGTGTCCCTGGGCAAGACACTGAACCCGTCATAGCCTCTGATGTGTGTCCCATCAGTGTATCAGTGTGTCAAACTACTTTTCTAGAAGTATTCTCTGCTCTTCCACTGTCCCCAAAGCTGGTCTGGTTCAGAGGGACAGCTGCAAGGGTTAATGCCACGCAAATATGTGTGTGTGTTTTCTCTCAGCCATGTGTTTATGATTTCCACCTCACTCCTTTTTCCTCTGAGTTTGTGTGTGTGTGTGATGCACAGTGCTCGTGTGTGTTCCTCGGACTGAAACAGATAAAGACGGGGAGTGAGTGAGAAAGGGAGAGGGAAGTGTGAGAGAAAAGGGGAGGAGGGATATCTATATACGTAAAAAGTGAAACTGGACGATTTGGACTGTTTGTGTGGGTGTGTGTGGGGTTTTTTTTTTATAAATTTTGCACCAAGAACAGTGTGACAGAATGTGATCTAAAAGCACTGATTAGTCTCATTAGAATGATTTGTTCAATTAGCTTTGTAGAGATCTAGGCCCTATTTACATGGACTCGATGGGGGGAAACGTAGGTTCTTTCTTATGTTAATTAGAGGAAAAGATTTGCATTGACACGGTCGCATTTTGGGTTTACATGCATCCGGAGGATTCCCCCCCGCCCTCCCGAATCCGCTGTAGTTACCATGCCAGGTCATTAGATGGCGCTGTGAATTTTGTACCTTCACCTAATGCGCATGCGTGCTGCCTCGGCACGCTGTTTTCCTCTGGGCTAATCAGCTAACAACAACGTAACGACAAGTTAAAGGTGGATTTTGGATGAGAGTCGACAGATTTGATGTCAAGCAAGACCGCTTTGTCTAACAGCTCCACACCGGTCGCTGAGTGGACCAGAACCGAGTCGACGATGTCGGACTTTACTCCGTGATAATCAGTAGCTGTTTTACAGCAGGTAAATCAACGTTCTTAATAATGTTAGCTTGTGTTTACTTCGGTTACAAAACAACCAACTGAGTTTTTATTTTTTCCTGAAAGAAGAAGAAGCTGTCCTTCCACCAGGCGTAACGGTTCTGAACGAGGCCCAGATGAACTGCAGGAGGACGTTGAAGAGAGCTGTTGATGATCTATTTGTTTAAAATTCCCCTCAGTTCTTTTATTCAATCCATTCATGTTCAGTTAACGTGTTTTAATAGTGTCTTCAGTTTAATTATCAGTGTTTGTGTGACATACAGTTTGTGGTGTTGAATAAATAAATAAAAATTAAACCTGATGTCTTTATTTTCAACTTTAGTGTTCACGCTATATGTTTAGCATCATTTTAAATTTGAATTACATAATGTCCAGATAGCTTCATTTAGCTCAGAGCTTCATTATATTTCACACTAACATAAATACTGTTTATTATAATTAAACTGTTATTATTTAGCACATTTAGATGTTATAGTGCAGCGCGACATGTGCGTGTGCCTCGTTCTATAAACAGCGACATCAGAACTGGATCAGATTGTGTCTCTTCTAACACAGATGTCGGTCACAGCACCTAGAATCTGACGTAGATTAACTACGAGATTAAAAATATATTCCATCAGTCGTAGTTCTGAAAGCACTGTCCGCCGCCATGTTGATAGAAATATAGCGTCTGTCCACGCGTGTGTGTGCGCATGTGGTTTAACACAAAACCTCAGCGGGAGATGTTTACATTATCAGCGGGGGGTCATCGAAAAACCTCCACTCTGGAAGGTGGGTTCAGAAATCTCCAGATTCAAAGAGGGGGGGCCACTGGTGTCGTGTAAATGATCAGCAGAACCGCAGAGAGAAAGCTGCGGATGCACTCAAAATACGCGCCGTGTAAACGGCCCCCTATTAGAGTGCTGTATGAATGGGTAAATGAGGACACAGATTGTAGTGTAAAGTGCTTTGAGTATCTTGAAATAAGATAGGCAGGCGCTATATAAGTACAGTCCATTTATCTGTGCTCTGCTGGAACTGTCTTTCTGCCACTTAGTTCAAGTTTATTGACAGTTCTTACCGACAGTTCTTACAGGCAGTTCTTACTGACAGTTCTTGCAGGCAGTTCTTACTGACAGTTCTTGCAGGCATTTCTTACAGGCAGTTCTTATAGGCAGTTCTTACCGACAGTTCTTACAGGCAGTTCTTACCGGCAGTTCTTACAGGCAGTTCTTACTGGCAGTTCTTACAGGCAGTTCTTACCGACAATTCTTAGTGACAGTTCTTACTGACAGTCCTTACTGACAGTTCTTACTGACAGTTCTTACAGGCAGAAGCATTGTTGTGCCATGGGACATTCAGCATCACAAAGGAAGTAGAAAAGAGAGCCCTGGACTTCGTTGAGGGAACAGCACCCAGCCACTGGTTCAGACATGTGGATGATACCTGGGTGAAAATCTAAGTTAAGAAATTCAAAATATCCAGATTCATACTCAATAATCCAGGTAGAAAAATCCATCCATCCATCCTTTCATCCAAAAGACTTCATAAGTCCGAGGAGCTACAACAAACTCATTCCTTATAAGACTGAATTTGTCCTCAGAAGGACAAATTCAAACTAAGAAGACACAGTCTTTTGACAACATCAAGTTCACCAGAGCAGATGCTAATTACAACAAGCTGGATTTTATAGACCGTTTGGTGCACGTGGAAAGTGATGGAAGTCTAAACATGGAGGTTTACTGGAAATCAACTCACACAGATCAGTTTGTTCTGTCTGGTTCTCTCTAACTGTTGGAATGCAGTCTTTAGATTACTCATTAGAACTGTACACCACAGGACAGAACATGTCCCCACAAGAGCAGAACATGTCCCCATGAGGACAGAACATGTCTCCACGAGGGCAGAACATGTCCCCACGAGGGCAGGAGGACATAAAAAGAAAAGAAAGAAGCTCTCCAAACATGTGAATATCTTAACTAAGCTTTTGTCAAGTCAGCGAGGAAATCTAAAAAACACCACAGAACAGAACATGGAGGATAACAAACACAAAACGTTGTCATCCCAGATGTTGCTGAAGTCTCTGAGAAACTCTGGATTTTCTCCAAACATGACATCCATTTGAAACTTAACAGGACCCTCAGACAGAGGCTGGTTCATCCTTAGGACAGAACCCCCAGACTGATCGGTGTGGGGTAAACATTTCAGAGCAGCGAGGAACGTTCAAACCTCTAAACTGGAGAAACTCAACAAACTCCACAGACGGCTCAACTGGAGAGCAGCTCTTCAGGACAAGACTCAGTGGTCCACCTACACCTCAAGGATAAGACACTCTTTTGAAGACCAAGAAGTTCATATTTTAGAAGTGAAGACAAAATGGTTTGAGAGAAAGCAATTTTTATCAAACATGTCAAAAATAAAACTTTAAAGAGAGGAGGCAGTCTCAGACTTTTGCTTTCTAAAACTTACAATAGAGCAAACTGATAGCTTAATAACGGAATCAGCTAAAAAATAGAAGTACAGTCGATCTTTTTAGCCTATAGGAAGGTTTAGTAGACCAGTTTCCATTCACAATATTAGTCTTTTTCATTTATTGACTAGTGATAAATGAAGGTATTGGGATATTTGCTGGCACTTTAATAATAATGAAACTGCTGTCTCAGCAGAGCAGCTGGAGTGACATTTTTCTCCTTCTGACATGTAAACCACTTTAGAGACAATAAAACAGGAGAGAAGACAAGAACTGAACTTCTGTGCATTAAATACATTAGATTAATAGACCAAACTTACTGTAAGTATTCAGCTTCATCAGTAAAATAGATCAAATTCTGAAAAATGTAATGCGGAAAACAAATTACACAAGAGGGAAGCTTTTAACAAGACATTTTTCTTTGTGAGTGGAAAGTGAAAACGTTTGACGCTGTGAATGAAGATCAGAGCCTGTAGATCCTGCAGCTCATGAGACAGCAGTGCCCCTCTGTGGTCAGACTTCATCCAAGCTTAGGCTAAGGACACTAGAAGATAGACTCCATGAAACAAAAGATTTTAAAGATTAAACTTCCCATGGAACAAATGGCCGGGTTGTAATATTTTCTAGTTATGATGGCAGCACAGCTAGCTGCTGTAGTCTCTTTTAGTTTGGGGTTAGGACT